TTTCAAGAGACATGTTGGGAACCATTGGCTCAGTGTTGGTCCTGTTCACAGATAGTTCCGTTTCCTGCTCCCGCAGGGGGAGTTAGAAGACAGGACTTGAACTGTATGGCATACTGAAGTGAAACTGAATACTGTCAGCATTCAGTCTCCTCTTGATTCAGGAGTGCATCAGGATTCTCTTCAGTACCGGTTTTTCTGTTTTCATTTTTTAAAAGTAGGCTCCACACCCAGTGTGGGGCTTGGACTCACAAACCTGAGATCGGGAGTCGGATGCTCTTAACGACTGACCGGCCAGGAGCTGTTTCTTTTAGAATTACTTTGAAAAGTTAGCTATGGAGGAGTTCCTCCGGGGTTAATATTCAGGCTCGGAATAGCAGATTGCGGTTTCAAGACTCCCCTATCTGGCATAGTAGGAATCCTCTGCCATCAACTGCCAATGCCTCTTCTCTGAATTGTTTGCTTGGAAAGCATATTTAGGTTTCACTTTCTCCTGTTTGTGTCACTCCTGGCCCTCTGTGTCTAACCCAAATGGTGTTTCTTCTGGAACTCTGAAAGGATTCAGTGAATGGTATTTTTGCTTCCCAGGTAGCACACACTTCCCTGGAATGAGCTATAAGAGCCACCACTGACTTAACCACCTCCATGATGCTTTTTCGGGCATATTTGCAAAGACAAACATCTTGCCCAGGTAACAGTTAAGCATCCATAATATACAGAGCACAGTACTGGACCCTCTGGGAATGCGCCAGGGAGCCTGCCATGGTTCTGAACCGCAGAGCAGTTTGAGAATTCCCGCCAAGTGGCTTGAGAGCAAGCGGCGTCAGCTGTGAAGCCGCTACGTTAGTGCTGGTGTAACAGTCCTGTTAGGCCGACCTGGCGGTGCTGGGGAGCTGAGCGAAGCTCCCCGATGAGGTGAAGCCGCAGTGACTTGGCGGATGCGAGTGAGCGGTCTGGGATTCTGGAGGCCGGCAGGTGTGGGCTTGGAGTGTGGCAGGGGTGTGGAGCCGGTGTTCCTTCCGAACACTGCAGTGGCCTTTGTCGCTTCCCCATTTCCCTCTCCCGCTTCAACTCACTCCCTTCACTTCTGCCCCTCGTGTGAAACATGTATTAATTATCCTGTGCGTGAAACCTGCTAGTCTTCATTTTTATAGTCATTTCTCCTGTCACTGGTGTCCTGACAGCCATATCCATTGACTTCCCTTCAGTCCTCGTCTTGACCAACCTGCCGCACACATACTCTTAAAACAAAAACAAACCTCTGCTCCGACCTGACTTCCTTTTTGGTATTTCTTCTGCTACCACTTAAATGCTGGTGCTCCTCCGAGCAATGCCTTTGCCTTCTTCTTACTCGTGTGATCTCGGTCGTCTCCCCGACCCTGTGACTTCAGCTGCCGTTTCTGCGGTGAGGTCTTCAAAGTGGGCAAGACTTCCTGGACTCCTCCCCGGAGCTCTAGACCATGGAGTCAGGTGACACTAGACACCACCGTCTGGAAGGCCTCACGCAGGCTCAAACGAAAGCCATCCAGAGGAGCTCCTCTTACCTCCGTTATTTTTGAGAGTGAGTGTGCGCACACGCCCAGAGGAGGGAGAGGGAATCCCAAGCAGGCTCTGCACTGTCAGCTCAGAGCCTGATGTGGGGGCCTTGAGCTCATAAACTGTGAAATCAGGATCTGGGCCAAAATCAGGAGCCAGACCCTGAACCATCCATCCGAGGCACCCAGGCGCCCCTCTGCAGGAAACTTCTTACACCGCGCCCATCAGGAAACATGCACAACTCTGGATGCAGCCATCCATCCTAGCAGTGTCTTCATGATTTCTTACTGAATGTGCTGCAGTGGCCTCTTAGCTGACCTTTGTCCCTGGTCCTTCCCCTTTCAAGCCCACTGCCCTCTCTGCTGCCAAAGAAATTCTTTCAAATTTCAAGTCTGATCATGTCGTTCTCCTACATAAAACCCTTTAGGGCTCCTAATAGGTCTTCTAAATGAGACCAGACATCTTTGAGGCAGAAAGAGTCCTGCCTTACTCTGGCTTCATCTCTGCATCACCCCATTTTCCCTATTATCAATTCACCTTTGCTCATATGGTTGAGTTGGCCTGGACTGCCTCCCCTCTGCACATTCATGGATCCAAAACGACAATTTTCATTCTTCACGCTTTGGTTCACGTGTCACTTCTAGAATCCTCTCGTGAAGTCTCCTCATGGTAAATACTGGCTACTCCATCCTTCTGGGTTTCCTGAGCGACCTGGACTGCTCATAGAGGTTTTCCCCCCACACAATTCTAAAACCCCCTTGAAGAGGGTCTCCAGATCGTGTCCCTGTTGTCCTGCAGTGCTTGGCACAGAATATACCCAACAGGCCACGTCTTCAGAGCACGTTCTTCACCTCTGTGCCAATGAAGGCAGACCTGCTAGGGAGGTGCTGGCTTTAGCCCCACTTTGAGTTATTTACCACCAGTAAGCTCCCAGGCTAAGTGAGCTGAGGAAATTCTAAGCAGACACTGGACTAGAGTAAGGCAAAACCAGAGACCAAAGGAGAAACCAGAAGCTCTACGGCAGTGCTTCCAGGGGACCTTTCATTCCTGCCATGGTTCCTCACTTGCTTTAAACCAGAGCCAGAACAGAAAAGTTCGTGAGTTCTCTCGCCTTTCAAACTTACATTTGGCTTTCTGGGGGGGTCCTACTTGGTTGGATTTGAGGATTCAGGAGGTCTTGAATTCCAGTTAACCAGGGACTCAAGAAGGCAGACTATCAGGGTTCTGGAAACTTTGGAGTTACAAAGAAATAGGGTGGGAAAGGCACACACAGGCTCAAAGTGACCCTACAGCCCCACAGGAAAGGAAGAGGCTCTGTTCTGGGCAGTCAAGGTACTACTTCTTTCAGTCCCTTTAATATCTTGACTTCCAACTTTATTTTCTGCTAAAAAACAACACGAACACAAATGATAATATTTTATTATAGAAAAAGCATCCCAAATACAGGATTTCGTAAACACTGGTAGGTGAACAAGTGTAACTTTCAAAGTAAATACAAAGTAAAGAGGTAAAACCTATAAGCATCTTGCCTTTAAGAGAAAACGTACTGTTCTTCCGCAGAGGTGATCCCACCCACAGCACGAACGTGGCTCCGTCTCTACCAGTGAAGGCATCAGGTTCCCTTTCTGAACTCTTATGCCCATTTTAACAATCTCAAAATAATGGCAAGAAGTGGCATTGAATAAATTACTAAAATCCCTTGATTCTTAACTTTCTATTGACTTGATAGAAAAAAAAAAAAAAAGACTCCATATCACACTTTGACAATTTGAGTTAAAAAGCCTGTGCTCTGATTGTTTTCTGCAAATACATCCATCCTTCCTGGGCTTATTCCACAGTATTTTCATAGACTTGTATACATTAGATATCACATTGGTTTCTTGGAATTTAGCTTAAAATAATATTGGCTGTTACAAATTGTGCAGTCTAGCTGCTTTCTAGCTTCCTTACCATTTTTGCTGTCATTTTTTCTGATACTTTCCCTCCACTTTGGAGAAACCGTTAAGTAATCTCACCAGACACATGTTAACACTCTTTGCCCACTCTCCAGCTCAATGCCAAATGTTTCCTAGTTAACGCTACATGATAATGATGCATTAACAAACTCAGATTCTAAACCTCAAATTCAGGTTTATCTTGGCTTGCTGAGATACCTCTGAGTAAGACAGTCTGAGCAAAACCATCTCATTTTGAAGATGGTTCTGTATAAACAGCCTGGCTTACTTATTTAGGCACTTAGAAAAAGAAAAAAACAAAACAAAACACCAAACCTGAGTTCCACCTTTATCAGAAATACCTCTTACCCAGCTGGCCATTAACGGACTCTGAAGGGAATGACGGCAACCCAGCCACTGTCCCCGTGGGGACTGCATGGTCCTGCCATTATGGAATGTCCTGGCCCCAGGAACAAGCAGCTATGGCTAAGGGGAGCCACCAAACTACAGTGATGCTGAGCTCCAGACTGGGAGGGTGGGGGTGCAGAAGAAACCTCCCTCTCCACAAAAAGGGACCTGTGAGCCCCACTTTTCCCTTTGTCACCATCATCTAGGGACACTGGCAGATTTGCCTATACAGGTTTCTAGCTCACTCACCCTATGGGTTGGGGCCAAATGCACATGAACCCACTCTGGGGAGGAAAAAAGAACGACTCCTTGAAAGCCTGAGGAAACTAATCATTTACATAGAACAAAGTGTTATTAAGTACATGCCATACTTTCATACCTGGCTTTTTACCTAAGCAAGAACTAATGAGTTTTAGAGTATTAGCTGCGGCATGTTTATACTTAAATGTTAATACGTAAGATGTACAACAGAAGTTATACTTACCAGACCACACAGTTAATTCTGACTTCCTCTGTGATGGCACGGAAGTCAACTGATAAGCATAAAGCACCATTAAACAATTATCTGGGCTGGTCAGTGGGTATGAGTGTAGGGCTGGTAAGGTTAAAGCCAAACCTGACAAATGAGCCCATGAGTTTCACAGACCTAAAAGTAACCTCTGGCTACAAAAAACACTAATCCTAAACTTTAACCCTTGCCATCAGCCTTACAAACTGGATGCCAGTGGTAGTCAGAAGAACTCTGTAGGTGGGAGATGGCTCAGTTTAACCCCTTACTTCTACTTCTTTACGAGTAATGAACAGAGCATTGATTTCCACTGTGCTGCTGGTCACATGCACAAGACAACACACTTCTTAAGAACATTCTTGTTCTTCAAGCCTGGAAAGAGCAGCTTTTGACATCCATCTGACTTTACTTTTGGAGGACTAGGGCAGTCATAAAATGGAATCCACTGGGGCACCTGGGTGGCTCAGTAGGTTGAGCATCCGACTTCGGCTCAGGTCATGATCTCACAGCTTGTGAGTTCGAGCCCCATGTCAGGCTCTGTGCTGACAGCTCAGAGCCTGGAGCCTGCTTCAAATTCTGTGTCTGTCTCTCTCTCTGCCCCAACGACTTGCATTCTGTCTCTGTCTCTCTCAAAAAAATAAACAAACAGTAAAAAAAAAAAAAAAAAAAGGAATCCACTAACTTGTCCTATGGTATCTTATGGGAATGGAATTTAAGAAAACTAGTCACATTATCTTAAAGATGTTAAGGAAACTATGTACCTCTTTGAAATTTGTGATGAGTAAAGGTTCTGGGTAGGTGATAAGAAGACCACCTTTACCACAAAATGACAAATTATCCCCAGACACTTAACATCTGGCTCTAGACTTGAAATTTAGCTTTGCTAATAGCCATGGGGACATAAGGGAAAATGGTTTAGTACTTGGGGGGAGTGATCTCGGTTGTCCTACACCAATGCATTATTAACACAAGAGTAGACAGATCAAACAAAATTACTAGGTGTAACATCCCTTCAACTCATCCTTCCTTTGGGGATGACAGTAGTACGGTTTTTTTATGCAGTGTGAGCTCTGTAACTGGCTACTTCAAAAACAAATATCCTGGTATCCAAAAGAATTCCACAGTATGAAAAGAACATACAAAGAAAAATCCTGCGTTGGGACAAAGCCTGTGAGGTGATGTTTCCGCACTCAGCTTCACCCCAAATGTCCCCTTCCCTGGAGCTTTTAGAAGTCTTTCTGTTGAGAAACCAAGCACTTGTGAGAAATTTCTGCTCATCTCTTGAAAATCTTTAAACCGTATCGACTGAGGTTTCCCAGCCACACCCATAGCAATGTGCTGCCCTAGGGTGAAGACCTAAAGGCTTCACACCAGATTCCGAGACAGGATGATCAAAGTAGCCTGATTTGGAGAGGTTCTTGTATTTGAGTTGTGAATTTCATTCCAAATAACTGATTTGTGTAGGCTCAAAAACCTTGAGCCTAAAAAGGTTTCATAAACACTGTCCCGCTATTACTAGAGTTCCGGTCAAAGAATCTGTATGGTTTTGAATTATTCGTCGCATTAATGAAAAACAAAGCTGAATTTAAACTCTTTAAGAAATTTCCTTTTGGACATTTTGATGACAGCCTAGGTCTTCCGGATGCAACCTGGGCACAGAGGCCACCAGGAATGGCATCTTCATTAAATCCTGAATAAGACTCCCATTAGTACCTGGTTGTAGAAGCCAGAGATTGTCTCTTTTTAAAGTCTGGTCCCTTTGCTGCTCAGTAATTCATTTCGCCTGGTATAAAACAAACAAAACAAAAGCCAAGAACAAAGTGTAAAGGATGAGGACTGCTTTGATGAATAGGAGGCAACAGGAGTCTTGACTTCCTTTCCTGCTTTTTGCAGTTATGCAAAGACTGAGTAAACAGCACCAGACCCCAAATTTTCAAGTTACCAGGGCCACTGCCAAGCTGGTAGCTTATTTACCAGTGAGTGCCTTTCATCCCCTGCCGGAGGCACAGATTTCTCAGTAATGAAAAGGACACAGGTTATTTGTGGGAGAAAGGGAGAGGATGGAGAAGCAGATCTCCTATTCAGGGTGAGACAAACCATGGGAGGACTGGCTGTGGACATTCTGGACAGAGAAGTGCTCCGAAGAGGGGTAGGTCCACAGCTGGCCCTAATCTTGAAAGTCATTAGAAGCCATCTGAGAAAGTGGGGCATTCAGCCGGTCAAGTTCATCCACTTGGGGTGGGTGGTGCATTAATATCTCCTGGTCCTCTAAGACGTCTTCTCCAGCAGCTACCAGATTAGTGAGGGATTTGCTTCGGACACACTGGAAATCCACGTGGCGACTCTTCCCTTCTTCCTTTTCCCATGACATCTGGATAAAGGGGCGCTGCACATAATTATAGATTACTTCAGATCGGCCACCAGGTCTTCTCTTAATTTTTTCTTTACAGGTAGGATAACCTGAAATAAAGCAAAAGGCCATTCCCATGACTCCAGCAAATTGCTCACTCCAGCTTCCATACTTTCCCTTCCCTAACCACATCAGTTGTCTCCCAAATTCAAAGACTGTGCATGAAAACTACTGGGGAAATGACCCCTGACCATGCTCTGCGACTCCCAGTCACCTACACGCGCACTTCCCATCTATCCGGGTGAATAGGTCTTATCCCTTAGAAAGGAAGTAACAAAAATTCTATCCCTTCTAATGGCAGGGTGCATAATTTCAGAAGCTGTTAGTTCCTGGCAGCAATACCAGAGAAGTCTTTCTAGGCCATGGCTAACTCCAGTCCTCTAATTCTACTGCGTAGAGCACACGCTGTAAGAGAAGCAGTTAAGAAGGTGTGTAATGTGTAGCCTCAAGAAAAAAACAGGAATGTTGCCTAAAAAATCTGAAAGGCTATCACATGGAAATGGGAGAAATCTTACTCAAAGTAGCTTCAGAGGCTAGAACTAGAAAGAAGAAGACAGAGGAAGTGATCTACTAGATCTACTAGAAAAATATTCTAATGGTAGAACAGTGGATGGGCTTCTCTGGGAAATGGAGTAATCCTTATCACCTTGTTCCGGGAGTTTCCAGTTACCAAAGAATGACACAGTGGAAAGAGATTTAACAGATCTCAAAAATCTCTTCCAACTTGAAATTCCAACCTAAGACAGACACAGTGAAGATCTGATGGGCTCTGTGGGCAAGACTGAGACAGCGAGATTAAAAAAACACTCGTGGAGGTGTGACCAGAATAGCTTTAGCATTCTCTAAGAATCAGTGTCTAAGACCCCTCCACGAGACCACCGGTTGGGAGTCATTGCTCAAGATCATTTAAAGCAGTTCTATCAACACATACAGACATTCCTCCAAGGTATGTGGTGGAAAAAATTAGAATTTTGAGTGTCCAAGCTATAGTTTTCAGAAGGACCCTTCCAGATCCCAAAAAGATCCTCACCAAGACCTGGAGGAATGGCCCTCGCACTTGGTGAGCCCACCAGTGTCCTTAGTCCTCACTGCTCTTTGTCCCAAACAGTTAAGTTGGAACTTCTTCCTGCAGCTGGTTTAAAGCATTTACAACTAGATACAACATGAAAAGGAAACGTAAGGGCAAACAAAAAAACAGGAATCCTTCAAAGGGGTAGGAATGTGGTTTTCGTATGTGCCTATTCTCTAGGTCCTCTGGAAGCTGAGTTTTAAGGACCTAAGCTGTGCCCATAGATACAACCTGCTCCATAAGCCAAGCAAGCTGTATACTAACTGGGATGTTTATTACCTTCAATTCCAATGCGAATGTTTTTCAGGCCCCGCTCCTTTAACACTGTTTTAGCGACATCACGATTCTCAATATATTTGAAGAATCTATAGAGCTTGGAGCTATAAAGAACTGGAAAAAAGAAAAACTGGGTTAGTCACGGAGTGAAGACTTCCAAAAGAGGAGGGAGATGAGCTAAGAGAATCAGACTAATGAAAGATATATATCTGACACTGACGCCAAAAAAAAAAAAAAAAAAAAAGAAACCACGTGAGAAATTTTTATAGTCTCAGGGTGTGGAAGACCTTTCTGGGTACAGCATAAAGGCCAGAAGCCACAAAATAAAAACTGATATATTCAACTACATAAAAAAATCCAAAACATTGCTGCGTAGCCAAATCACCATTAACACAACTAAAAAGACAACCAACTGGGAAAACTATCTGCAACTCTTATTACAAAGGGCTGATTTCCTTAATATATAAAGAGTGGTCACAGAGCTTTCACAAATCACTAAGTAAAAGACTAACAATCCATTCTGTAATGGGCAAAAGGCACAAATAAAGTTACAGAAGAGGAAATTAAAATGGCTCCTAAAAACGAAAAGATGGTGCGTCTTGATCATGAAATGAGAAATGCAGATTGAAACATTCAAATGAGAGGCTAATTTTTACCTATCAGAGTGGCAAAAATGAAAGTTTAATAAAACGCTGTTTTGTTGAGGGTGTGGGAAACAAACCTGTCATACGTTGTTTTGAGATGGTTTAACATTTGTGGAGGAAACTTTGGCAGTGTCTACCAAAATTATAAAGGAACAAAGCTTTGGCACAGAAATTCCATTTCTAGGAAACTTTTTTTAATAAAGATTTTATTTTTTTAAGTAATCCCTATACCCCAACATGGGGCTTGAACTCACAACTCTGAGATGAGGGGGTTGCAGGCTCTACTAACTGAGCCAGCCGGGTGCCCCTTTAGGAATATCATTCCATAGAGATATGTGTGTGAAAAGACTATGTTTAAAAGGATATTTATTGCAACATCATTTATAATTTCTAGCTTAAATCAACAACACAGCTAGTTAAATCAATTATGGCACAGCCATGCAGAATACCATACAGCCATAAAAAAAGATCACGGAAGGTTTTTATGTTAAGACATGGTACTGGACAGTCTGTAGAATAGGGTATTATTTGTAAAAAAAAAAAAAAAAAAAAAAAAAGGAAAAATCATGTATGTAATTGGTCGTGCACTGAATACACCTGGGAAGATCTAAAAGAAACTGAGAAGGAAAACTGGGTAGATGAGGCAGGGATGGGATCAAGACTTTTCAATGTATAACCTTTTGTACTTTCTGAACTGTTACCAATTCAAAAGGATTTGGGCGCCTGGGTGGCTCAGTCAGTTAAGCATCCGACTTTGGCTCAAGTCATGATCTCGTGGTTTGTGAGTTTCAGCCCCCGTGTCGGGCTCTGTGCTGACCGCTCAGAGCCTGGAGCCTGCTTCAGATTCTGTGTCTCCTTATCTCTCTCTGTCCCTCCCCTGCTCATGCTCTGTCTCTCTCAAAAACAAACGTTAAAAAAAAATTTTTTTAAAGGGTTTAAAAATGACACAAATGGAGAGAAGAATGACACCACCAATTAATGGCCTCGGTATCGCCACCACACTGCCACAGCATCAGACATCGGGGGCAGGAGTGGGAGGAATAACAATGTCATATAAGCCGCATAAAAGTTAGATGTGCAGGGGCGCCTGGGTGGCTCAGTCGGTTGAGCATCCGACTTCGGCTCAGGTCATGATCTTGCGGTTTGTGAGTTCAAGCCCCGCGTCGGGCTCTGTGCTGACAGCTCAGAGCCTGGAGCCTGTTTCGGATTCTGTGTCTCCCTCTCTCTCTCTGACCCTCCCCCATTCATGCTCGGTCTCTCTGTCTCAAAAATAAATAAAAAAACATTAAAAAAGAAAAAAAAAAAAAAAGTTAGATGTGCATCACTAGACTGCACCAGGTGAGTGTGCTCACTGCCAGCTTAACAGTGACAGTCATGCTGGTTACAGGATGCAGCTGTTACTCTGGGCAGCATGTTTCCCTCTGAAACCATCTACACCGTGCAGGGGACTCCTACTTTGGGAATATTCCTCCCCCATGGGAGGGGGGTGGTCTTCATCCCAGTCCACAGAATCCTCATCCGTCAGCACGACGATGTGGCACTCTCGCTCCCCTTTCTTGGCACAGCCCACCATGATGGGCAAGATCAACTCTTCGAGGTAGTGGTCAAACTGCTTGTGAGCACCATCATTAGACAGTTCATGCAGTAAAGCGCCTGGGGAGAGAAAATGCAGGTGAACGTCCTATCTGCCCAAGCGCAGAGATTACCGGAGTGAAAAAGACTATGAGGTAATGGCTGTTGTCACTGATAAGTTCCGGAGAGGTGGCCCATTTTAAAGGCAGAAATTGTTTCTTGCTCTGAAGTGCTAATTAAGCTGATTTTGTTAAATGTTTCACATTCCATTACTCTAACTTTCTCATGCTTAATAATCCCTGAGCATTCTGAACAAGTGCGGTTTTATTAGCTGTACAAGGTCAAACCATAAACATTAATTCTACAAGAGATACAACTGCTGTCTGGGGATGACTGTAGTACCAGATGCTCTGGACCCCAATTTCATGGAGTTACAGTACCACAGAAGAGGAATAATCTAAGTTTAATGACACCAAGGGACTTGCTCTAACTGTGTGCTAAACTCAGTAGGGAAACCACAAGTCTAGAGAACTTCATGGAGTATGCAGGGAAATGTATCATGAACCTCAAAGAATAGTTTTTAAAATAACTTCAGGAAGGCTAGGAGATGATAAGAAAATGGCATTTGCAGTCAATCAGTTCTAATCCCACCTTTAATGCTTTGAGCTTTGAACATGCTAATTTCTCAGTCTTCTCATTTGTTACATGGGGTTATCACCTGGCTTTCAGGGCTAACTGTTGTAAGAATTAAGCAAGTTCACAGCTATAAAGCTATTAGTAAACAATAACAATAATAAAAATAGGGCACCTGGGTGGCTCAGTTGGTTAAGCATCTGACTCTTGATTTCAGCTCAGGTCATGATCTCATGGTCCCAGGTCATGATCTCATGGTCCATGAGATCAAGCCCTGAGTCCAGCCCTGCTTGGGATTCTTTCTTTCTCCCCCTCTCTCTGCCGCTCCCTCACTTGCTCTCTGTCTCAAAATAAACAAACATTAAGGGGCACCTGGATGGCTCAGCGGGTTAAAGCATATGACTTCGGCTCAGGTCATGATCTCACGGTCTGTGAGTTCGAACCCCTCATCGGTCGGGCTCTGTGCTGACAGGTCAGAGCCTGGAACCCGCTTTGGATTCTGTGTCTCCCCCCTCTTTCTCTTCCTCCCCCTGCTTATGTTCTCTCTCTCAAAAGTAAGTAAAAAGCATTAAAAGAAATTTTAAAAATAAAAAAAAAATGATAAAAATAATTCTAAGAAGAACCCAGCCAATTTATGCTGTTTGACTTTATGAAGGAAGGCTCACTCATGTCCAAGAATCAGTATCCTTATTTATTAAAGAACTGAGACACCAGGTCCTTGGAGGGGAAGCAATTAGCTTGGTGACTCACTTGACAAGCTAGATTTAGAACCGAACACATGTTCTCTTTTGTTTACTTCCTCACAGTGCTTTGAAGCATGAGAGAGGGAATGGGTTAGTATCACAGTACCTGCCTCCCCAGATGATTTTCAATTTAGGCTTGAAACTCTAGTAGCAAAAAGTTACCAGTCCATTTCAAGCAAACTCAAAGTTCAGTGGCTCAAATGCAGCTGGGAGTGCTCCTGTACTCACTCAGATCTTGACATCGGATAGTGTTGAAGTCAAAGTTTATGCAGAGATAATCACATGTATCTCTAAGGTCTGGAATAGAGATGCCATCCGGACAATTAATGATACCAGTTTTGTAATAATCCTGTAAACAGATTAAAAATAAGAAATGAAGGCGAAGAACAAGACGAAAACTTACTTCCTCAACCCCCTATTCATTCCTGGTTCTGTTAAACTGATAGGATACTAGAACCACTAAGCTGGATGACTTATCAGATGGCCAAGTGGCTCCTGGCTCTCCTGGCATGTTTAATCCCAACTTGGTACCTGACAGTCAAGAAGTACTTAAAAGTTACCACAATAGAAAATAAAGAGGGAAGGGCAGTAACGGAACTACAGACCGAAAGTCAGTTAACAATCTGATGGAGACCTCAAGTCTTCTGACTTGAGTCTGTGCCTGCCCCTGGGGAAGAGGAGGTAACAGAAAGGCTCCTACACACCAGCACGGTTCGAAATACGGTTGCACTGATTCCTTCAGCAATCTCATACTCTCCCTTCTCATTGGGCCGAGTGAAGTTGTACTCTCTTCCTGGTCCAAACATTCTGAAAGATACCAGGCAACAATGTTACCTTCTGCAGTCCAGCTGGATTCTTCACAGATGAGGCTGACCCCTTGACACCTCATTCAGTAAGACTCCATTCCACGTTCCCATAGTTTAAGAACTCATAAATTAAAAACACAGTGGTGGGATCCAACCCCTATTAAGAAGCTCCCTCCAGACAGAAAAGGTGGCAGCAATTGCTTTCAGCATTTGAGCGAAGGAGAAATGAAGCTGCAAGTCCTCCAGGTTCACCTGTGGTGCTTCTGGGACAGCAAATCAAGTTGGAAAATCTCTGGAGTGTGTGAGGGTTGCCTCTCAAGCCCTCCCCACCACCGAGGAACCCACCTATAAACTGGCAGCTCAAGAAGACAGGGGGTCTCACACTCCTGACCCTTCCTGTTCTTTTCCTCCCTCAATTAGCATTATCTAGTATGCCAGTCCTCAGTATTTCTGAGTTTTGCTGTTCAGACATCTAATGTGATAGATGAATCCAGAGCGATAGGTGTAGATGTTAACGTTCTCCCTTTCCTGATACATTTTTTTAATGCTGGAGTTCTGGGGGAAATGCCCCTCTTCAATCCAAGGAGTAGCTCTAAAGATGGGAACTTCAGGTCAACTGGGCAGGGATGGTAGATACTAGGCCATCAGTGGTTTGATATAGTTCAGAGGGGTCTGCTCTGCGCACGAACTCAGAAGTCATGAGGGCACAGGGGGATCTTCCTTTTTCTTACTCTTTTCCCATCCTTCCTCCCTCCAGTAAAACTGGACTCATGACTTCCACCACTCCCACTGTACATCTGAGTTACGGAATGGGAAACCAGAGTGAGGGACAAGGCAGGCAGTCAGGATCTTCAGCCAGCCCGATTTAAGTTTCCAATTGGGCCTCACTGCCACCTCCTTCCTGAATCTGCTGGGAACCCCTATGTTCAACGTTCAAAACTGTTATCCGCCACCCTAAATTGGCTGCTTTTCAAAGGTCTGAAAAAGACTCCAAATAACATGCTTTTCAAACCACTATACCATACAGAAGAAATCCATCTTGATAAGTGTCTTCAAAGAATGCTGATATTTTTCTGGAACATTCTGGCTGAAGTTTAGCCAAGACAGCTGTGAATCAAAATAGTCAACCTGCCATGTAATCCACCCCCCTCCCCGCCCCCCAAGTATCCTCAGCGGAACCTAAGCTCAGAGTTCTCTATCTGGTAGTGACATGGATTAATGTTAATCCATTCGCAATCTCTCAGCTTGTCCCCCTTGTGACTACTGGCCCACACCTGTAAGCTCACTGCCTAGGCTTATGCACACTGTATATAACCTCAGGACAGAGCAGACCCAAGTAACTCTCAGAACAGATAACTGCAGCTGACTCAGCTGATGAACCACCCAGATAAAGAATCAGACTCTCTTGTCATGGGACAACTCATTCCTAGATTCAAAGGGCGTCACCCAAGAGTCTATTAATCTATTACCCAGAAAATGCTTGCTTGCTTCTCTTGACCACTGTTTTCAGACGCAATCTACCTCAAAGAGCAGCCTGTGTTGAGGCTAATGCTGACTTTGAAGCGGGGGAGGGGGGTGCAATAGTGTAGTGATACCAAGACGGAGGACAGGAAGTCAAGTCTGATAAACTATAGGGCCAATTTGGAAAATGTTTTAATGTCCTAGTTTAGTCTTAATTCAGATGTCTGAGAAATATACAAGTTTGATTCTGGTTAAAAATGGTTCATCATGAATCTCTATGTATATGTTCAAATATAAATATATTTGAATAGCTGGATTCCATTTAGCCTAAAACTCAACAAATGAGTATGGTCCATTTTGATTTCTAAATCAAAGTCCTGAGTGAGGTTAGATCTTTAAATAAGATCTACTTTGAAGTAGATAAAAACCCTCAAAAGCCAAGTGTTTGTGTGTACACATACAAGTTATTGTTTTTACTCCTATCCCAATCTGCTCTTCCTCATGTTAAGGTCTGTGGTTGGCCAGAAAGAGAATCTCCTCACTCCCAGCCCAGGCTCCAAGAATACTTTCTGGACAGTGCTCCTCCTTGGCAGGCTCTTTCCATTTCCTAAACTCTAACCGTAAAATGCTGGAGGCAGGAGATGGTAAGACTACAGTCTAAAAGCAGCACAGAGGGTGGAACATGAAGAAAAGAGAGCTCAATCACGAAACAACGAAAGAGCCAGATATAAAGATTTGGCTTTGGAAAACTTGAATAGTGATGGAGACATTAGAAAATGACAGCATGATCCTCCTGCCAAGCATAATGGGCAATGGATGGCAGGTGAAATGCTCTTTAGTAAAATGCCTTTGTTCTTATGTCATGTGGAACCCATGTCTAATTCTATCTTTTATTAAAAGGCAAAAGAAAAAAAAAACAACTTAGATCTCACCTTAACTCTAGATCTTTGACGTGGAACTCAGAGAAGATTATTACTTTTGTGAGGTATACAAACTATGGGGTAATAGAAATCAGGTCTCCGACTTCTGCTTTAGAGTGAGTTTATTGAGGACTAAGGAATGCTACTCAGCAGATTATTTTCCACAGTTCTGACTGCTCAGGTAGTTGTGGGGGCTCATTTTACTATACTGGCTTTGTAAAGAAATTAAGTACATCCCCCAAATCATCAACAGATATAAGGTGTTTTACAAGCTTGCCCTCCCTGTCTCATAAAAGTATGAAGGTAGAAAAATAAGCAATCAGTGCTTCTTTTCCTCATTCTAGTGCAAGATAAACAGCAGGTATTTCTATTCATAGAGAACAGAGTGGATTTGGAAAGAAATTATCATCAATTACCTTCCCAACATGGTATCCGGATGAGCAGTGAAAATTTGTGGATTCACAACAAAACGTGTGCCATCTACAAGAAGTGTCACTTTCTCTGGCGCCTGGGAATGAACGTTACTGCCAAAGCCCACAGTGCTGTTTCCAAATCGTTCTGGAGCCATAAAGGGTTCATGGTTCCGTTTATTCCCATTTTGGAAGCAGGAGCCTTTGATGTCTTCAGGAAGTGGCATTATGTGAGGGAACTGGAGATTTGCTGGCTGAGAGGCATAGTCAAGTGAAAGGTCTAAAAGATCATACAAACAAACCAAAATAACATGACAGCAAAAAGGCTTGGGGGGGAAATAAAACTGCTCTTCTTTAAAAAACCAATTTACCCCCCACCCCCCATTTTTAGGTGTTCACAAGCAAAAAATTCTTGCCTCGAACAAATCAAAGAAAAATAAACTAGAAACTCATATTGGATCACCCTGAGCTTTTCTCCAGGTTTGTATGTTGGAGAGGAGAGAATGGAGGCAATAATGCCCATTTTATAATAAAATGGTTAAAATTTTTTAAAGTAAACTATGTGCATGGCTTTAAAAAATTTAAACACTCAAGAATTTCTGTGGACAACCAGCAAGGCCCTACCACACTCCGTGCCCTCCCCTGTCTTGTTTCACAGAGGCAATCACTTTTTACTTCCGTTTCCACTTCTAGTTCTAAATAATACTCTTATATTTCCTGTTTTTTCTTTTCTTTTCTTTCTTTTTTTTTTTTTAAGGAAACTGCTGCCTCTGTGTACAGGAACTATTTCATTTTCCACATTCAAAAATTTCTAAATGTTTCTAAATTTTACTTCCCAGAAGGGATGATAGTCTCTAATGGTCTAATGCATTACTTTTGCTAGAAATTCACATAAAAATGCATTTTCACTATGCACAGAAGAATCCTAACATTGTCAACACCATTTTTTGTAAAGGCAAGTCTTGCCCTCAGCAGAAAGGTTCCACTGCAAGTGGCCTCGGGTTAGGATTCATTCCCAGAACCTCAGTTTTCTATCCTAGTATCACCAAAGAGTCATTTTAAGTAATTTATTTAATTTTCCAAACCTTGTTCATTTCTGTAAAATGAAAATAATGTTCACGCCACCTCCCTCACAGGATTATTTTATCAACTGAAATAGAGTATGTGAGAGCACTTCAAAGTGTGTTAATACTGTATCATGCAAAAAAGGCTTAAAACTAAATGCTGTAGCTGAAATCTGGATGTACACAGAAGACAATCAGGGGAAAGTATTTATAAAGGATTACCATAGGATTCTTTTCAATTGGCAGTTCTCCTAATATATTTTAAGTTAAAAAAAAGTTTTTTAAGGAAAAATTCAAACATACCAAAGCACAGAGTTAACAATATGCATATCCTGACACCTAGATTTGAGAAACTTAATTAACACTTTTCTACATTTTCTTCAAATCTTTTTTTCCCCCCAAATCTCCCATTCCTCATGTACTTTAAGTTTGTACACAATAATTCATGAACATGATTACTGCCCATGACCTCTGGGAAATGAGTCTGACTTTGGGCACTTAGATAACCAAATAAATTGTGACCTGGAGAACACTCACTCCCCCCACCCCCACTCCATTTGCTTCTAGAGAAAAGGAAACCAAAATCTAGACCAAAAACCTATTGAGGATTCATGTCCTACAGCTTTTGACAAATTTTCAATGTGGCCCTGTGTTTGCATACCAAGAGCCAAGCTTCCACAAAATCCATAGGCAAGCTTACAACAAGAGAACACTTTAATCACCAAGACAGGCTTTCACATTCACAGCGCTGTTCTAAAAACTGAAAGTAGGTACCTACACCACAAATTCAGATTTTAGAATGCTTGATTCCCTCCCCGCCCGCTGCCCTCTCCCCTGCACCCCCTCCCAGCAATGAAGCAATTTAACTTGGGCTGATTCCTGAAGGACACCTCAAGTTGCACCCAGCATAAACGGGTGAGTAGGAAAAGAAACTCACTGCACAAATTCTCCCTGACGGTACACTCTAGAATGGCAGGCACACTCTGCTCCTCTGGCAGCTAAAATATGTAGAAGAGCACGGCCCCGGTCAGAAAGACACAAGTTCAAATCCCAGTCCCCTAAACTCCCAGCAGTGTGAACCGGAACAAGTTTTCTAAGCTTCTGAAGCCTCACTTTTCTCATCTGTACAAGGATTAAGCAGAGATCAGCAAGCTTTCTGTAAAGGCCAGAAGGTAAATATTTTGGGTTTTGTGGGTCATGGTCTCTGTCACTGTAGCAGGAAAGGAGCCAAAGACCATATGTGAACAAATAGGCATCATATAAACATGATGGCTGTTATTTAAAATTTTTATTTGCAAAAACAGGCAGTGGTCTAGATTTGCCACCCTGTATTTAAAAAAAAATGTATGTAAAGTTCCTAGCACAGTGAATGCTCAATAAACCGTAACTAATATTATTAGTGTTGCCACTGTCTTTATTAAAAATTAAGAAGAACCTAACAGTTTATCAAGAGCCGGCACGTCCAATAACTAAAAAGTCTTTTGGTCTCATGAAGTAAGAAGATTATTAATATCCCTGTCTTCCAGATTAAGAAAGCAGGGCTCAGAAAGATTAAGCAGCTCATCCAAGGTTACAGAGGATAGTAGCAGAGCTAGAATTTGAATGTGTCTTCTGACTCGGAATCCAAGACAATTTTTCTTATACTATCATTGCCACATTAGATATGCTGGACTGATTAAGTGGAGATTTTTTGTGATGGTCAGCTGTATAGAGCTGTGATATGTAAGCTAAGCCAATTGGCTGGATATTTTATTTGGGTAAAGAATATGCATGCCTTCTGGGTAGAGTGGATGCTCAGATGTTGGAAAGCCCACCAAATGAAGTCAAGATCTAAGTGTCATACCATCGCTCCTGGGGCCTAGAGGATAAGTAAGGTTCTGAAGACCAGAAGAAGCCGGGCTATTTGTTTCTTTCTCTTGTGCCGCAGCTGGGCTTTCATCCGTTAGGCAGCCAGCCTCCTGCCGCAATAACCTGTCGCTCTCACTGCCACGGTGAACATTCATCCTTGGATTCTGTATCCTGAACTGCCTGCTTGACCAGAAAAAAATCCTAGAAGACAGGAATATGCAGGATTTAGAACGCTCTCAAAACAGATTTCCAAGGACTTCCAAGGCAAGAAAGCCAAACTAGAGAACTCACCAAAAGCTCTCAGTCTTGTTCTGAGAAGAAACGACATCTTAAACATTTCTGTAATTTTATACTTACAGGAATTGAGCTTATTTAAATGGTCTTTATCAAATCACTAAGAATATAAGCATGTTGATAAACTTGTTACTTGGGAGTAATTTTAAGCTGTATCCAAAAACAGATATCAAATCCACAGTTTTGGCCACAATCTTGATCAATACTACAAAGTAAATGGTAGTGCAATAATTTGATGATGTTTATATCACAGACACAAAAGAGGGGAAGAATCCAACTGGTCAATTAAAGAAAACCTGCCTCTATTAAAAAACAATTGAGGGGCGCCCGGGTGGCGCAGTCGGTTAAGCGTCCGACTTCAGCCAGGTCACGATCTCGCGGTCCGTGAGTTCGAGCCCCGCGTCAGGCTCTGGGCTGATGGCTCAGAGCCTGGAGCCTGTTTCCGAGTCTGTGTCTCCCTCTCTCTGCCCCTCCCCCATTCATGCTCTGTCTCTCTCTGTCCCAAAAATAAACGTTGAAAAAAAAAATTAAAAAAAAACAATTGAGACACAGATGTTCCTGCAACAATTAAACATTAGGAAACAAAAACAACCAACCATAATACTCATGGGAGTATTATGGGAGTACTCAAGCAAAATTTGACTTATCGTGCTCAAGTTCTTCTTTATAAGTTCTCTCTTTCTGCACCTTATCTTCAACCCTAGCCCCCACCTCAAAATTACATGAAGACGTCACTGGCGATAAGGCTAACTCTCTCCCAAGCAGTGCACAGTCGTGACCAAGAACACATAATGAGCTACGGCCACGTGCAAGGCATTTGCTGATCAGGCAGAAGTAGGGGGGGGGAGGGCAGTTCAGGAGGCTTCATACCTTTCTTCCAGATAATCAAGCCCTGCAGCCCTTCCATCCTTGGGGGATGCCCAGCTACTTGAAACATTTCTGAAGTTCACCCTACTTATTAGCATTTTTAGTTTATACTGTACTGATTTCCACTTGGTGTTCTGGTGGAAGAATCCTCTTCCGTCACTACCAATTTTTATGCAAATGGACTGCATGCTAACACCGGTTCAGGAACAAGTTAGGTCACTAAAGGCAGTAACATGTAGAGGTTAAAACAGATCCCCAGGGACTGGTAAACTCAAATAAAACCACCACTGCTCTCAAGTTTGATTCAGAAAGGTCAAAATCAGGTCTACTGAACAGGATAAGAAAAGGATATGGAACTGGGAAGAGCATTATTGCCAACAATGGAAAGACCAAAAGGGGGGTTTGCTTCTTTAAGCTTAACAGGTTTTGAATGGCAATGTTTCCACTCAGCAGTACAGATACTGCTTCTCAGCTCTTCCACTAGCGGCTCAAGAACCAAGTTCAAACTTCTCTTTGTTGCTCTCCTAAAGACCTCCTGGACCAAAGATGGTAAGCCTGAATAAATCCATCTCTTGAGAATCTGCACAGACTACACTGTATCAATTACTTCATTTATTCCTTAAAATGTGTGAAGAACAGTCACATTACAATGGAATAGTTTGAAAACAGTTTCTTCCTAGTGGAATCGGGGCTCAAAGTGAAGTTTAACTTGTATATAATGAACTGAATTAATACACAACAGGATGGAATTGAAACTTAGCAAGTTTGGCATCTCCAATGAGGTAAAAGAAAGTAGCCCTCTGAGCACTTAACAGGCATTTTACTTGCATTTAATTTTTATTGCAAATAATACATGACTATTTCCCTTCTTAAAAAGGATGCTTTGGGGCGCCTGGGTGGCTCAGTCAGTTAAGCGTCCGACTTCAGCTCAGGTCACGACCTCGCCATCCATGAGTTCGAGCCCCGCATCGGGCTCTGGGCTGACGGCTCAGAGCCTGGAGCCTGCTTCCGATTCTGTGTGTGTGTCTCTCTCTCTGCCCCTCCCCCATTCATGCTCTGTCTCTCTGTCTCAAAAATAAATAAACGTTAAAAAAAAATTAAAAAAAAAAGGATGCTTTGATCATCATCCTCAATCCCAATCACTTCTCCATATCCCAGCTTGCTGGTTTGAATCCTTTTGACTTTACAAAAATGAATTCATACTCTACAGATATGCTGGTAAAAGCATAGGGTTTCAAAAGAACACACAAACTATATACTATACATCCATCATTCTCATTCTGTAATGTTTTTCTAAATTACTGTTCTTGAGATGCATCCATGTTGAAAGATCAAGATCTGGTTCATTCCTTCTTCTTCTTTTTTTTTTTTTAAAGAGAGAGGGAGAGAGCCAGTGAGGGAGAGGGGCAGAGGGACAGGCAGGGAGGAAGAGGGAGGGGGGAGAAAGGGGGAAAAAGGGGGAGATGGAGAAGTGGAAAGAGGGGAAGGAGAGGGGGAGGGAGAGGGGGAGGGAGAGGGGGAGAGGCAGAGAGAGAGAGAGAGAGAGAGACAGAGAGACAGACAGAGAGAGAGACAGAGAGAGACAGAGAATATCGACCATGGAGCCTGATGCAGGGCTCGATCCCACAACCCTGGGATCATGACCTGAGCTGAAATCAAGAGTCGGATGCTCAGCCGACTAAGCCACCCAGGTGCCCCAATTCCTTCTTAACTGCTGTAAAATAGTCTGATTCCACTCTTCTATCCATGAATATTTAAGCTGTTTCTTAACGATTACAAACAATGCTTCAACGAACAAGATTAGAGTATACTATGAAACTCCAAGAAAGGACCCAGATTACAGACTTCTCCAAATGTATTTGGCATCAGAACTCCTTTTTGCAAGAAATCATCTCAGGATTAAAGCTTAGTGGCACACACTAAGAAATTACTTAATGCAACATTTACCCAAAGTCTCCTATGAAGTAATTCCTCTGTAATTCTAGAATGACAGAAAACTTTGAAACCTGAAAAGTTAACTAACACCAAGTTTTCAACATACACCAGAGCAACCACTTTAAACATACTACTACTCCCCTTCCAGGATTGGTGTTTCATTCAACTTTGAATTTATATTTTCAATGCCTATCATGGTTCAATTCTGTAACCATCCCCCAAATGAATCTTGGTCCTTAAAACAGATCTAGGAAAAAGGAAAAAATAAATAAGCAAAGCACTTCAATAATATAGTCTCTATTGCTACAAAACTATCTTTGGTCAAAACACAGTCCTAAAAGTCACAGCAACATACAATTACGAAAACTAAAGGATCATGACACCCCCTGGCACACTTAACAGTAAATGAAGAGACTGCTTCGGAAAAGAACTAGGAGTCAGAAATATATTAATAACAGAATTCAGACTATACAGCCATTAAGCAGAGAAAACTTAATATCCAACAAGCTGGCTGAAGCTTCACTTCTACACAGTATGGGAGAGCATTTTTATACACTGTAAAGAACTACGCAAATATATTTATTATTTATATCACAGACCTCGCATGAAGGCCCATTCTTTGTTAAGTCTTCATTTTGCTGACCTGGAACAGCATCATAATCTCCCATCTTGGAAAATTTACATACAATCTTTGATGGTGTAACTATCTCCACATATTCCTTACACCTTAAAATGGACACACCACAGTTTCTCCTTAGAACATAATCATCTCGAGTATTAATCCAAAATAACCTCTAGATAATGTCTATGTATTTTTTTCTTACTTGCAATTTCCTCTAACCAATTATTTCTGAAGAATGTAAGATAATTACATGGATCACTGTGCCATTAAGTTCAATATCTTGCCACTGAACTATTCAACATTTTTTGAATAGATTTTAAAATCTAGTTGTAAAGTGGTCAGGGGCAAACAACCCTAACATGGATCTATCTCAAAAGCATAATGCTTTCAGACGGTTAATGGTACAAAGGTATGATTTTTTTTTTTTTTTTTTTTTTTTAATTTGAGAGCATCTAAGCACGCGTGTGCAAAGCAGGACAGGGGCAAAGAGAGAAGGAGAGAGAGAGAATCCCAAGCAGGCTCTGCACCTTCAGTGCAAAGCCCAACAGGGGTTCAATGTCATAAACCAGGAGATCATGACCTGAGCTGAAATCAAGAGACACTTAACTGAGTGAGCCACTCAGGCATCCCACAAGGGTATGATCTTTTAAAAGGCAGTATCCTTTTTTTTTTTTTTTTTAATAACTTCAGAGTAATCTGGGTGGTGATAAGGTAGGATGCCACAGAATTTGCTACATAAACCAATCTACCCTTCATCTGTACTCTAGAAATCAGATTTAGAAAGTAATCACATCTGTGCCAAACCTTCATTTCAAACAAATCCCAGTCTTTTCCATCTGTTCTTTAAAAAAAAATTTTTTTTAATGTTTATTTATCATTGAGAGACAGAGCATGAGCATGGGAGGGGCAGAGAGAGGGGGAGACACAGAATCCGAAGCAGGCTCCAGGCTCCAAGCTGTCAGCACAGAGCCTGACACAGGGCTCGAACTCACAAACCGTGTGATTATGACCTGAGCCGAAGTGGAAGTCGGAGGCTTAACCCGACTGAGGCCCTCTGTCCATTCTTATGTAAAAACCACTATGTTCCTTTAACTATTTTAATCACCTATCATTGACTTTGGCCTAGTTACATTATGTTTTTCTACTTACACACAGTAATAACCCTGCTAATGTTTTCTATTAAAGGTGAACAGATTTTCCATTTTGCTTCACATATATTCTCGGGTGATAGCCAGAAGAGTAACAGTGAGGGCAGTGGGAGACAAGAGAGGTAGGAGATAATCTAAAATATCTACATGATCACCTTCCAAGATATCGTTAACTGGTAGCAAAGAGGTTACCATTTTCGGAATGTACTCTGGATGTATATTTTTTTCCCCAAAGTTTGTATTTATTTTGAGAGAGAGAGCACGCGCACACGCACGGAGAAGGGCACAGAGGAGAGGAAGAGAGAGAATCCCAAGAAGGCTCTGCACTGTCAGTG